GGCAGGCAGGTGTTCAGCCATCCTCAGGAAAGCAGGGCTCCATCACGCGTAACGGTTACTTGGGAAGACAAACGCCATCACGCCCAATGTCCCCCCCTTCCTTCTTCTTCCCCCAGCTTATATACTGAGCATGACGTCATATGGTATGGAATAGCCCTTTGGCCAGTCTGGGTCAGCTGTCCTAGCTATGCTCCCTCCCAGCTTCTTATGCACCTGGCAGAGCATGGGAAGCTGAAAAGTCCTTGACTAGTGTAAACTCTACTCAGCAAGAACCAAAACATCAGTGTGTTATCAACATTATTCTCATCCTAAATCCAAAACACAGCGCTCTACCAGCTACTAAGAAGAAAATTAACTCTATTAACTGAGAAAAGATTTCACTGTATGAGCTTACAAGTCTGAAAATTAACTGGAAGGAAGAAAGTGAGACAAAAAATAGAGGATTTGGAAGAATTTCTGAAATTATGAGTTCTTTTCACAAATAGCCAGAACTCTCTGTAGGTCAGAGCACCAAATGTTTCAAAATTTTTTATTTATCCTTAGGCAGCAGAACTGACTAAATCCTCACATATGAAACAAAACCAAAAAATTTTTAACATCTTTACTCTGAATGTCACATGGTCTATACATTAAGCAGAGAAACAAAAGTTGGCAGGTGAGATTCTAACAGTCCAGATTTGTACTAGCTAAGCTGTCTAACTTAGGAATAATAAATACTCTACTTCATAGGAAAAAATGCTGCATGCTTCAATCTCTCAATTTTTTCATTGGAAATGAGAAAGTGTCAGTTTTCTAACTTGAACCTCACCTGAAATTTATCGAGGCCTCAAACTAAGAAAGTTAACTTGGAAGAATAAATATTGTCTTTTCAAGGGGGATGGAGAGAGCAATTCTATTTTCAAAAGCATTTATAAAATATGAAGTGTTACTTGATGCTTATTAATAAAGAATATACATTAAGTCCCTCTTTTTTCCTTTTTATTTTTTTTTAAGAAATACGTTTAAATTCGTTGGATTGTATCAGATTTTCTACTTCAAAATTAATATCTCACACACACACAAATGCTCTCAAAAAGCACCAATGGCAGTTACTATGGATCAAACAGAGAATGTGATCTGATTCCAAATTTATCCCATGGGGTATGTCTTAACATTGAACTGAAAGGAAAAACAATGCTTTGTTTATATCAAATCGAAACTTCTAAAGCAACATAGGATGTGTCAGGCCAGTCCTGAAATGTGTAGTCCTTGATACAACATTACTGTATTTTCATATATAGTTATATTTGCATACTTTAGTAGAGAAGAAAACTTTACAGGAATTCTTAGATATCTCAATGACATTTTAAATTTAATTTTAAATGTCTTGTACATCACACAGATGATGAAGAGCATGATTACAAAAATCAATCACTCCCCCCTCCTTTCATTTTTTTAAATCACAGAAGAGTTTAAGAGGTGAGCAACTTGAACAGGGGTGATAGTACTTAGAGTATCAGAGGCCTTGGCAATACTAAATATCTCATAAATCTAATTCTCAAAGTAGAGAACCCCAAACACCACCATGCACAGAGGCTCTATTAAAGTTTAGCATTTATCCTTCCAGGATGCTTTTCTTTACCACATTACTTGATAAAATTATATTTACAGTTCTGAGCTGCCAAATCTTCTCAGCCCATTCTGTATTTCCCACAACACAGCAACTAGAGAGACTCTTTTGGGCCCCCCTCTTCTCCCAAAGCTAAGTCAGACCATCAGGGAAAGTCTACAGATTGTCTAAGTATCTTCTCAACATCTATATGTAAACAGAGGTCATCAGACCTTCAATGAAGGCTGTTTTTCCTTCAGAATAATAATGAACAGCCTTTGTGAGAACTGTGAACAGCCAATATGTTCAACACAATATCCCAGTATAGTTCTTTCAGAGATTAAAATATTTAATCAAAAAAATACTTAATGCTTGCTACAACAGTATTTCTATATAGTCAGTTGGTTATAGAAAATCAAGTGATTTATTGCACAGAGTAGATTTCAGACAAACGGGTATTTAGAAGTCCAGTTTGTTATGATTTTATTTAAACAAAAAGTTTAATGTTGTCATGCAACATTTTAGCTTGAATCTTAATCATGACGAATAGCAGAAGTAGTTTAGGAATGCACTAATTATAGACTTTAGTGAATATACAAAAACTTCAACTTTATAGGTTATACAAAGTAAAGAACATCATAAATATTTTCCCAAAATACTGCAGCAGCTGAGACACAGTGATATGCCTTACAAGAGCATAGGAATGTAATTTAGACATCATATGGGAACTACCCATTTCCTTTAATTTCACTGAGCAAAACAAAAGCAACATTCAATTCCACGCACTGATTTCTCACAATGTCTATACAGTATCTTGAGTTTTATCCAAATAGTAAAAGTTAGACATGTCATTTATTTAATAAACAATTATGTGGTAAAGCTCTATTACATTTTTCCTTGGTTTTACCTGAAGTAGCGATGTTATTTAAAAGAGGGCAGGTTTGGCACTTTTATACTGATGTCACCAATATGAATATTTCTTGGGGTCTCTGGCAGATTCATAATCTTTACAGCTGAAACAGCCTGGGCTGGAGCTCCTGCTAAACCAGCCTGTATATAAATTGAAGAAGAAAAATGCAAGTCAGGAAAAGTTGGTTACAAGAAGAATCACTAGCAGTATGCACAAACAACTAACTTTTCAAGTATTTCTATGGCTACACAATTAGAAAGACCAGATGGTAACTTTTTTTAGAATGAAAATGGTTATTTGAAAATATTAAACAAGAAAGAGAAAACAGTTCACACATTTCTTTTTATATGGTAAAACATGTAATGTCAACTTGATGGAATAGCATGCAGGGAGGAATAGGATGTTTATCCAAGAGCATGTAATATGTAGGTTATAGAACAGACAATCTTGATATATTTAAAGTCCAATGTGTTGTCTTTGTCTCTTACCTATTCTAAAAGTTTACATGGTTCATAGCTGACTAACTTTGGTTACAGGTTCAGAATAAGTAACCTCAAAGTAACACATTACTGAATGTCAGTTGAATCATATTACTTATCTAAATGCATAAAAATATGAGGTAATTCAAGGTGGCTTAGCCTGAAATGAAAAGGCTAAATGCCTTGCATTTGTGGGTGATAAAGAACATGCAGAGATATAATTTCTACAGACCAACTGAAGTGATAATCTGTTATTCCACAGTATCTAATTATGAACTAACATAACTGCTGCTCAAAGGCATGCTGGAACACTACATAATGATCTAGTTATGATAAATTAAACATTAAAGCACCTATTTTGTGTTAAATTCCTATGCTGTAGTCTCTCTTCATTTAAAGCCATAGCTCTATTGTATAGAAATACAAATTTAACAATATGGAGGTAAGTCTTTATTACTGACTTGCATTCAGCTCTGCCTTTTAGATAAAACAACAGCCAACATACTAAGGTTTCTTACTGAAATGCTAAAAAAAATTATTTACAACTC